TTTTCGCTGCTGATGCTGTTGCACGTTTGCGTCAGTCTATCGGAGTTGCGGTTGTTACTGCAGGTCCAGGTGTAACCAACACCATCACAGCGGTGAAAAACGCTCAGATGGCAGAAAGTCCACTGTTACTACTCGGTGGCGCCGCTCCTACCCTACTGAAAGGTCGTGGTGCTTTACAGGTACTACTTGACAAACTTATGAATTAGAAAGTAAAAACCAACAACTTCTTGTTTATTAGTACAACGAATTAAAATGAGTATTTACCAACGTGAAAATAGTTTATGCATTTATGAATGTGCTACGATTTAATCTTACTAATCGTATTTAAGTAGTGGGTTACTAAAATTCATTATCGCTCACAAATATTGAATAGAAACTTATGATATGATTTCAAAAATCGCATAGTTTATTCCTTCGCTTGCTATCGCTTACATTTGACTCATTTTTATTTATAGGATATAGATCAACTCGCTCTTTTTCGTTCATTGTGCAAGTATGTAGCACGTGTACAGCGGTTACGTGATATTGTGCCAACTCTTCGTCAAGCTATCAAGGTGTTTTAGTTGCCCTGTCATGCTCTGCCCTGCGATTATGTACAGCAATATTCAGACTGCTGTATCAGGATGTCCAGGGCCAGTATTTGTAGAATTTCCTGTAGATGTTCTTTATCCTTATCAGCTTGTGGTTAAAGAGATCGGTTTCTATACAAAGCCTATTGGTTTTGTCCAGGTACGCCACAGTATTTATTATGCGGAAACATTATTTCTTAATCTGTACTCTGCTTCGCGGAAGTATTGAGTATTACTAATAATTAGTAATGCCTTTATTATTACTATCATTACCATTATTATTGATAATATTATCAAAGGAACTTGGGCTACTATTTCTTGGAATTAATCCAACATTAAACATATTTTGAACTGCAAATAAGATTCCACTATGCTTTTTGGCATACCGTCAAAGTGCGTAGCTGTAGTATTAGTGAACCTTCCATCCATACAATTTAATTTTATAATTTTGTCATGCCAGATATATTTGTGTGTTGTACACCAGCTCATGTTCTGTTTTCGCGCTTCGTATATTAACTTTAATGTTCAGAATAATGTAACTGATGTAGAACATGATAGCATCGAATGATGTAACTGATATAGAACACGAAGTGTTAGTTGAATGTGAAAACCTGTCAATAGAGCTACAGTTCACTAAAGGCAATGTTATTCTTACTACGGAGACTAGTCTGCCTAATGTGAATGGAAGTTTTGTTGGAAATTAGAACATTGTTGGTGAGTCCCAGAATTGGTGCTATAATTAGCAGTAGTTCATGATCTAGTAATGCCAGTGGCAAAAAGTGCAGCGAATAAATATATTGTCACAAAAAAACTTGTTCTGTCTGACCGCTTATAGAACCCACGTTTTGCTTAGCTTGATGAAATACAAATTTACTTTTTTTTTTGGGATTTATCAAGCACTTGAGTACCGGAGATGTCTTATTGTGCTAATTCATTCTAGCAATTATTTTCAGAGAGCTTTGAACTATTATCTTCGCTATCATGTTTCAAGGCAGTTCAGTGCGGCTTGGATACATCAAGACATTTCTCCATTACCAACACAAATTCCCATGCCAACATTTCATGAGGTTGCGTAACACATGTGTGAAAATTGATCTAAAAAGTTTGGCAGTTTACAAATATTAGGAATGTCGCAAACATTTCTCTTTTCTATAATCTGATATTCTTTCAATGGCATCTTTAGGTGTCAAAAATTGTGCAGCTTGTTTGTGATTCGAAAAAACCACTATTGCTCATTGGAAGCCAAGCATTGCTTCCACCAGTGATCCCATCAAGATTAGTTAAAGCTGTTGAAGTACGGCCGAGTTTAACTGTTGGCCTAGCTTTTTTTTTGATTTTAATCCTATTATAGTTATTGGGGATTCCTGTATTTCTTAGTGGAATGGCCCGCGGTTTGCTAGGGAAAGAAAATAATCTTCAAATGCGGCAAAATAGAAAAGAAGCATTACGTGATGCTGATCTAACCATCCTTGCTGGTTCGTTTGCAATGTTTCTAGTATTTTTTTTCTCTTCTTTGCACCAAAATATGTGTAGAAACTCATAACAAATTCTGGTTGTATTTTGAGTATTATTGTTAATATAAATTGTTTCGTAATGTTTTGTAGTATTTTAGGAGCTGTATGTGATTTCCGATTATCATATGGACGGATACTATCTAAAAAATCAAAGATTGTATGTATTAACAGAGACCACAGCCAATTGACAAAGGTATTTATTTATTAAACCTAGGTATAACATACACTATGTGGTTCTGCACCATGTAAAGTCTTCGTCTTGATATGTTTTTGATTTCTTAAATTTTGCTGTTTGTTCACTCATCAATTTGTAAATGTCCTGAATATAGGTATTCATTTTTTAAGCGACTAACTGTCGTTGGCATTGTAATGCTCACACTAGTATAACGTCATATTTAATGAATAATTGTCTACTGTATGGAGTAGCTTTATTCATTCGTGGCTTATTGTGTATAGCAATATTTTATACAAATTGTTTTTGCCATGGCAGTGGCACTACTGTAAAATATGGATCTTATTTGTATTAAATATCTTCGGCGATATTCATTAGAAACCATTGTTCCATTTGTTTAGAATGAGAAGACATTCTGGACTGCCGATGTTTCTGTGCGCGCTGACGTTGCCTCTACTTTGGTTGAAGTTGCTGACCAACTTGAAAAGGTATGAATTCTATAAACATAATGTGAAAAGGCATTATGTAATGAAATGAAGCACCGATTATTACTTTGTTGAAGTACTTTTTACATATTTATGAGCTGTGGATTCACTGATTTGTGTTTATAGATCGGATATAAAGCACCATGTGCGTGGTTGGAAGACTTACGAAGTAAGCATGATGAAAAGGAGGCATCGACGGCTACAAAGCTGGCGAACGAATTGGCAAATGATTTTATAAATCCGCTCAACTTCTTGGCACGTCTTGACAAAGTATGGTTGATTATGATTATCTATGCATATTCACAGTAGTTTATTTAAACAGAGCTAAAACTAATAACTCACGGGATCAGTTGCATTTAGTGTTTTTCCAATTAAATTTCTTCAGAAACTTCCCGATGATGCAATCCTAGTAGCGGATGGTGGGGATTTTGTTGGATCTGCCGCGTACATCGTACGACCTCGAGGACCGTTGCAGTGGCTAGATCCAGGAGCTTTTGGAACACTTGGAGTTGGTGGTGGATTTGCGCTTGGAGCTAAGGTTTTACTTCACACTTTAGTGCTGCCAAGATACCAATATTTTTTTATATTCCTTTGTTTTGCAGGTGGTATATCCTGAACGTCCAGTATATATTTTGTGGGGGGATGGGTCGTCGGGATATTCAATCATGGAGTATGACACGTTTAGTCGTCACAAGCTTCCCGTCATAGGTGTTATTGGTAATGACGCGTGTTGGACGCAAATTGCTCGAGAACAAGTACCTATGTTTGGCAGTAATGTTGCGGTCGATCTGGCGGTATATAATTCATTTGGTTCCCTTTTATTTTAAAAAAATCTAGATTATCTGCAAATGTTGTGTGAGTCATTTATTTCTGTTAAGCGTACACGTTACGATGAAATCGCAGTTGCATTGGGTGGATGGGGAGCTTTGTTGTCAAAAGATAATGTGAGCACTGTCGAAAAGATTTTGGATGAAGCACTCCATCAAAGTCGTGAAGGTCGAGCCGCATTGCTCAATGTTCTTATCGGCAGGACTGATTTCAGAGATGGTTCTATCTCTGTGTAAATGCATTTATTCTAATGTTTCATACCACTTCAACATTTCTAATATTTTCTCCTATATTCTGTGTAAATATATTTACTCTATAATTTCATATCACTAACATTTTTAACATCTTCTTCGATATCTCTAAGACCATTTCTTCCTCAACCACTTGTTTTAACACACAGCTTAATCACTTCAAAACTTAAAAATTGCATCGACTTTACTAGTATCTAGTATCTTATTCTCATATGATTGTTCGTTATGATTTACTATTATTAACATATTTCCATCCTTTTTCAGTGATTTCAAGAAGGAAATTTTGTGATCATCTATCATTTTCTATTAAATTTATCCTCTATAATTATTGAGTAAGAAGAATATATTCATTTATTATAATTATATTAATACCAAGTGCTGGACCAAAAGTACGTGTATATAGCTATGTACATTCTTATGTATATTTGGATTTTGTTATGAAAGTGAACATTTCAACAAATTAAATAAATGCATTTACTCCAACCTGTCTTATATGCAAAGTTTTCAACACTTATTCGTTATGCTCCTCGAAGCATACACGTTAGCTTGGCCATAAGATCATCGTTGTCTGATTGAATGAGTTTTCATATTTCGATCACAGGAAAACGAGATGATACTGTTTCGTAGGAGTAGACTCGTATGAATGCTTGTACTGGACATTTACAAATTGGATCATTTCACACTAATTTACGCATCGACCTCTAGCAGTATGTCCAAAGCAAAACTGGGAGTTCCTTTTAACATGAAAGTAGAAGGAACTGCAGTGTCTTGTTAATACGTACGTAATTCATGACATATACAAACCCTTAACTCTTTGACCAGGAATACTCTGATAATACTCTTTGACTCTGACTCTTACTCATAATACTCTGTGACTTGAACTAAAAATCAGAATAAAAAATTGGTATTTTCTTACGCATATTGTTTTCATAAGTCCAACCAATTGACGTAATCACATAATTTTACCACAAATTACTTTTGAGTTTCTAGTGAGATCATGTAACAATAAGTCAACAATAATGTAAATCTCGATCACCGACTGATTACTACCACCCTCCTATTGATTCATGTTATGCCAAACTGTTTAAAAATCGAAAACTTATTCCAGGATCATCAAATAAGTGAAGGAATTATCCTTCTTATTTTTTATGAAGAGTTGCTACATAAAACATCAAAAGGACTGCCTCCAGGCGGGATCGAACCACCGACCTTCTGTTTACAAGACAGACGCTCTGCCACTGAGCTATGAAGGCTGCGGTTGATGTGAACGTACTTCCCTCTTTTAACCACAATTATTAAACCAATTGAACGAACTATTCAAGAAGCTGCTAGATCAGAACCTGTTACAAAGCGTCGTAGAGGAATCTGTAGCTGGTTGACTGCAATTCCACGCAAAGCAACCCAGAAGATGAATGTGTGATAAGTCGCGGCCCAAGAACGAGCCTGTTCTTGCCATGAGGCGGCACATCTCACCACAAGGGATTGATCAACGCCAAAGCTTATCTTATCTTAGCTTACTTAAACGTAGTGATTGTAAATGTTACCTTTGACGCTATATAATAAAAGTAATGCTTAACATGATGTATTCTTGCTTTCAACCAGTGATAGAAACAAATATTTATTCACATAAAATATTAGTCAATAATTTAAGTGATGATCCATCGAATATGATCCAAGCGTGCGAATTAGAGCGATGTTATAATTCATTTCTTCTGGTGAAATCATCCTCGTCTTCTTCGTCACTGCTCTCTTCACTTTCAGATAGATCTTTTGCTGCAAGACAAAAACTATGAATCAATACAATTTATTACTATTGACTGAAGAATACTCCACAAATCATCATAATACTACCCACTATTTAGATGTATGGATTCACAACACAAGGCAAACCCAGAAATATTTCGCTTCTATGGAGCTTTCATTTTCATCATTCAACATTTTGTGTCGGAATATATATGTATATATATAGCATTTTGACGAATCGCTGATCAAATAATCTACTATACTGATCGTCTACTAATACTTAAAATACGTATATCTCTCTTCATCTAGAAGCCTGTTTTACATGACAGAAAGCTAATGTACCTCAGGAATTATCATTCGTATAATTCAATTTTACTTGATGATGGTAGATTTTCAGATATCTATTAATCTTGAGATTTTCGTAAATATAGCCTCAAATCGATTGTGATGCGCAATCTGGGAGCCAGTCAACGTTTTGAATGAAATTTCCAGGTCAGCGATTATGATAATATCAGAAGGTGCACGTTCGCCTCCAAAATACTGTATTGTTCTGACCAAGTACGACTGAATAGGAGAATTTTTGTATTTGAATTGTTGAATACAGTTTCGAATAGAGCAGTTACAATTCTTTCCTCTTGAATATCATAAGACTTGTTTGCTTTCTACATACATAATTTTTTCAGAAATGTTTATTAATAATTCTTGTGTCTATACATGTCTATATATATATATATATATATATATATATATATATATATA